CCCCCCGCCAGTCCCCCAAAGGTCAGCACCGCGGATACTGAAGCACATTAGCTAATAGGCAAAACCCACACGGATCCCACTAGACCAGGGTTTGACACACCATGAGGAGCATGAAACGTGGTTATCCCTTTAGACCGCTTGTCTTTGTTTTCTTGTCAGACGGGAAGGGAGAGACTCCCTTACACCCGAGGGAGCAGGCTGGGCCTTTGTGTGTGTGTATTTCCCTTAGATACATTTTCAGATTATTCCTTAATCACTATCTGTCATTGTTTGTGTTTTGTGTGGGGACAAAAATACCAACACAAACCTCTTATCATGTCACAAAATAAGTTTATAGTTGGCTTCTAAACCAACAAATTATAAAACTTTCAGAAAATTCAAAAGCAAGGTAAATGGGTAACAGAGATAGTAACATCATTTGAAATGCCTTGCCTCCTTTTAAAATACAGTTTATTTATAAATTTCATTCTAAAACATTTAAGATTGTACATCAAATCCATACTTATTACAGAAGAAAACCAAAGCTATAGATAAAATGAAATACAAATATAAAAGTCTCCCAGAGAATCCCATGATCCCCATCCCATTAGTGACGTTAGCATTTCCATGAGTATCTTCCTACAACCTTCTTCCATAAACATACGTGCCCACAGGCGCATACTTTTGATGCAGACATCATGTCCATCTTTTCATGTCCGTAAATGTGTACTGAGTCATCTCCCTAACTGGCTGCATAATGTCCCATTGGGTGGGAACACCACAGTGCCTTTGTCCAGTCCCTCTGTCTTGCGTGCGTAAGTTCTTTTCATTCATTCATCCATTTACTCATTCACTTATCTACTTGCTGTTACACAAATTGCTGGATAACCATTCTCACACATTTTTATAGTTTTCCATTTATATGCATAAGAGAACATTCTACAAGTTGAAGTCGTGGGTCAGAGGGCACGTCCTGCTTTTCTGCCCTCTAGAAAGTTGGTCCCAAGAACCCACTTCCCTTCCCTTTGACCAATACTACGTAGAACCTACTGTTTTGTTTTTGAATGTGGAACGTATGCGCAGGCCCGCAAGTCGGCAGAGAAGCAGTACAAGGGACCCCCTCGCCCCTCCATCCCCAGCAGAGGTCAGCCCGTGGCCCGCTCTGCCCGCCGCCCCTTCCCCCCCAACCCCAGCACCGACCAGAAGCAGGCGCCAGGTCCCAGGTGTCTGTTGACCTGTAGTGACTTCGGTGCGGCCCCCCCCCCCCCCCCCCCCACCAGGAACGGTTAAAGCACAAGCCACACAGCGACCGTTACTCCTCACACAAATTAGGAAATCTCTAGTCTCCGGTTACATTTCTGCATGCTTTATCAATTTTCTTAAATGACTGTTTTTATTTTGTCTGTTCTTTTATGAATTGTCCCAATTGGGATCCGAATAAGGTCTGCACATCTGACCGGTTGATGAGCTCT